AAGAATTCAACAAAGTAATACTCACTATAAGATTGATGCTGATCGTAAGAAGAGATTTAAATAATTTGAAATTGGAGATTTTGTTATGGTACGGATTCATCTGGAGCGGTTCCCCCAAGAAACCGTTAAAAAGTTACATGCTAGAAGTGCGGGCCCCTTTAAGATAATCTTGAAAGTAAACAATAATGCTTATGTGTTAGACCTTCCTGAAGGCTTTAATATGAATCCTACGTTTAATGTTGAAGATTTAGTAGCTTTCGAGGGACCCGAGTTTAACCCTGATAATCCACTTCATAATAAGCCTTGTGAGAACACACCCAGTGAGATCCCCAGCCTACCTCCACTCCCCAAATTACCCCATTTACCCATTGCGGAGATGGTCGAAGCTATACTTGATAAAGAAATCATTTCCACGAAGGAAGGTGGTCGCCAAAAGTACTTGGTGCACTGTAAAGGGAAGCCGGCGACAGAGGACACATGGATAGATTGAGAGGAGCTGCAGAGTTTGGATCCAGATCTCCTAGAGATATACGAGAGCTACAGAGATTTTTACTCGACGGGGTCGAGCTTTCTCCCACATGGGGAGAATGATGTGGACATCGATAAGAGGTTCAAGCATGTGTATCGCCGAAGACAGCGCAGATCGACGGCTACGATTCAGAGCCTTTACTTTTGATGTATTTCATGTTTTATTTAGTTTGCATTTCCATTTCCTAGTTTACCCCTATGAGGAGTGTTGTCTTATTGTAGCCCAAAGGGCATTTGAGTACTTTTCATTTCTTTATGTTAAAATACCTATATATAGTGGTCTCATGCTTTGTAATAGGGTAATGAATATTTGAATGAAAATTGTTTTGTTTCTACTTCTTCTTCTTGCATGAGAGCTTGAGAAGGGAGAGAGCTCAAGGGGAGCAATTCGCAAGGCCCACCAGTCGTTGGAAGAGTCCGCAGCTCGTGGTAAAACCCTTCTATCTTCTCGTTCGTGTTTTCCGCCGACCACCACCACAACCCCGGCCAGCCACCTTCCCGGCAACTTCCCCTTACCCACCCAACCCCTTCCCTACATAATTTTCAAATTTGAAAATTTCAAATTTCAAATTCTTTCCTAATTTGGAACTCCAATTTAGGAAAGTTTTCATGATGGAATTCAATTTCAATTTGATTTAGATTGGAGTTATGAAACTTATTGCCACGTCATCATCCTAAATTGGAAGCCCTTTTCCCTTGAAATCCCCTCTCTCCCTCTATGCATGCCGCCGACACCCCATGGAAAAATTCCCCATTAATTGCTTGTTTAATGCCTTGACCGTTTTGAAATCATAATTTGATTTCAAATATTTTTCCCTCCTAAATTACTTAAAACTGAAATTAACTTTCAGTTTTAATAATTTTAAACCTCCTTCCCTCTAAGAGAGGCCGGCCACCCTCCTTGATGAGCCCCATTAATTGCTCATTAATCCCCCTTAATTACATTTGAAATTTGAAATTCTTTTCAAATAATCCCTCCAAATTTACTAAAACCTGAGATTAATTTCAGATTTTAGTAAATCTCTTGCTACATTCACCCAACCTAAATCCCTTCACACAAAACACCCGCCCCTCTCCCCACGATGGCCGAACTCTCCCTTCCCCTTGGAAATCCCGCCGGCTCCTCTCTCCTCCTCCTCCTCCTCCTTCCAAGGCAAGGACTCTCCCTCACCGCCATTTAATACTCTTCTCCTTGAAGGATTCTCCAACGACAAGCATGTATGGCAGACCCGGAGTTTGAGTGGGACTTAGTGTTTAATGCCGACGGAAGCATTAATATCCTACGATCCCCATTCTTTGACGTGGGATTTGAAGACGACTCTATCGTTGAAGAGTAATTGGAACAAGTTGTGCCGGTTCTTGCGGACGTCATCGACCGCCGAAGTCCAAGCTACGATTGGAGCATCAACAGTCGGTCGCTCCCGCCATCCTCGCCACCGTCAACCTTTCCGTGGTTCAAGGCCGTTGGATTTGCTACCGTCTTCGTGGCATCATTAGGCTTACTAAAGACCGTCTCCCGCCAAGCCCTACTTGAGTGTGAGTGAGCAATGTAACTCATTGTGTAATTTCTAAATATTAGCCGTGGGATTCTATTTTACTCCGCATTTGCTTCATTAAGATGATTTCGAGATCTATTGTTAATAGTGCCTAAACAACTAGTTGTAACTGCTTATCATAACATTTCAATAACGGAAAATTCTTGAGCCTTAACCTACGATACTCTAATCTTACATTAGTAAACTTTGTGATTCTTAACGAATTTCACGTGCAATTCTTGAATGTATCACATCAATTTCTCTACATGTTTTAGAACAAACCCGAAATTATGATCATCCCTAGCAAAGATTGTGGGTAACACTCAATTGATACTACCCATTCTTCTAGGGTAATTGTTCATAATTCAACTAATTCTAATATGATTTATACACAATGTTCAAGCAACTTTAGATATTTTTTAAGATTCAAAACCCTCTCAGGACGTTTTTCCATAAGTGGAGCTCGATACCGCTTCTTCCCACAAGTCCATTAATCCAAACCTCTCAGAGGTAATTGTTTCTAATTATTTTTTGTTGTTGGGATATTGGTGATAAACTCTCACTATATTACCTCCGATGTTAGTATTTTTAGCACAAAAGCTCTGGTGGACGAGAGGTTTCAAATTTCTTGCTAAGAGAGTAAGAAGTAAAAGAATATATATATATATATATACTCTGAGACTAAATTGGTCATAACCGAATTGTTTGGGGATTATTTTACGTTTTTCATATATATATATATATATATATATATATGAAAAACGTAAAATAATCCCCAAACAATTCGGTTATGACCAATTTAGTCTCAGAGTATATATATATATATATATTCTTTTACTTCTTACTCTCTTAGCAAGAAATTTGAAACCTCTCGTCCACCAGAGCTTTTGTGCTAAAAATACTAACATCGGAGGTAATATAGTGAGAGTTTATCACCAATATCCCAACAACAAAAAATAATTAGAAACAATTACCTCTGAGAGGTTTGGATTAATGGACTTGTGGGAAGAAGCGGTATCGAGCTCCACTTATGGAAAAACGTCCTGAGAGGGTTCTGAATCTTAAACAATATCTAAAGTTGCTTGAACATTGTGTATAAATCATATTAGAATTAGTTGAATTATGAACAATTACCCTAGAAGAATGGGTAGTATCAATTGAGTGTTACCCACAATCTTTGCTAGGGATGATCATAATTTCGGGTTTGTTCTAAAACATGTAGAGAAATTGATGTGATACATTCAAGAATTGCACGTGAAATTCGTTAAGAATCACAAAGTTTACTAATGTAAGATTAGAGTATCGTAGGTTAAGGCTCAAGAATTTTCCGTTATTGAAATGTTATGATAAGCAGTTACAACTAGTTGTTTAGGCACTATTAACAATAGATCTCGAAATCATCTTAATGAAGCAAATGCGGAGTAAAATAGAATCCCACGGCTAATATTTAGAAATTACACAATGAGTTACATTGCTCACTCACACTCAAGTAGGGCTTGGCGGGAGACGGTCTTTAGTAAGCCTAATGATGCCACGAAGACGGTAGCAAATCCAACGGCCTTGAACCACGGAAAGGTTGACGGTGGCGAGGATGGCGGGAGCGACCGACTGTTGATGCTCCAATCGTAGCTTGGACTTCGGCGGTCGATGACGTCCGCAAGAACCGGCACAACTTGTTCCAATTACTCTTCAACGATAGAGTCGTCTTCAAATCCCACGTCAAAGAATGGGGATCGTAGGATATTAATGCTTCCGTCGGCATGAACATTACTATCACTTTGGAGAAAGAGATTTGGATTAATTCCATTGGTCATGGCTATTGAGAGAAGATAGAATCCGAAGGAATTTCCTCATTATTCATCTTGCAAAAATTTTTTTACCACAATTCTCTACATGTTTTAGTAAATTCTCAATTTAGTCCCAAATTTTCATACTGCCCCAATTTAGTCCCCTAACTATTAGAAAATATCTCAATTTAGTCCAAAAGTCAATAACAATTAAAGTGAACCCCAACAATTAGATATGAGGGGATTTTGAGTATTAGAGTGTATCTGAGATTATATTTTTATTTTTATATATTTTGTAATTTATCTTATTAAATTAAATAAAAAAATAATAAACGTGGCTAACTTTTGTATTTATTTTAAAATGATAAATAATTAAAAATATAAAATAATATAATCTCACATTTAACTGGTGGAGTTAATTTTAAATTTGACATTTTTTAATAGTCGAAGAACTAAATTGGGTCTTCATGAAATTCTATGACTATATTGGATATTTCTAATAATCGATGGACTATTTTGGGCATTTACTCTTATGATATATATATCAAGTAAAATTCATTAAATGAGGACCTGAGATTTCTTCTCTTCAGACAAATGGCCCTTTGTCATTATCTGCTTGATTTTGTTAGTGTGTTATGGTTTTTGCTTTAACTCTAGCAATTTTGCACAATTGCTTCTTGTTAATTTTTTTTGCATTCACTAATAATAAAATCTTTTGGTTTAAATAAAACAAAGATGATTGTTCCGGCTCTAGAAAAAGATAATTTTCAAAGGGATTCATGAAGCCAACCCACCATAATTAAGATAGTTTTGGCAAGGAGGGTAATCTGATTTAGGCAAATAGGATTTTGAAATTCTGTAGAACCAAAATAAAATACAAGACAACTTAACTAAAATGAAAATAAATGGATAGCATTGCAAAATAGTTTCCCGAAAGAACTTCGACAGTAAATGAGATGAGGTCAAATGTTTAGCAACCATACTCTACTTTCTAGATAATTATGGAGCCAAAAAATTGCTATCAAAATTCATCATTATGCAACACCTGGCACTTTATCAACGTGTCAGGGAATTAATAAAACACACAACACCAATAGAAGCAGAAAAACACTAAAAAACAAAAAAATTTATGCAATAAAGATATACTCACTCTCATCTGGGTAATCGAAGAACTCTAAACGATGCCCAAGAATTCCTTTCCGACAAGATATTTCCTTTATCTGGTCAAAGTAACAATGATTAAAGGTGGAAAAAACAAAATACATAAAACAGGAAAAAATATTGAAATAATGAATTCCATGACTTCGAATAAGCAATATGGATGATAGAAAAAAAAGTTGAGACAAGAGTGTTGGCTCAAAAAAAAAAACGACAAAACTAGATTTCCCTTGAGGATAGTGTCAGGGTTTAATTAGATCTAGGGTCTTTACTTCCCATATTACTTATAAGCATTAAACTGGATTAAGGATGAATAAGTCAAAAATTGAATTGATTTCCAAAGACTATAAAACCTTCAAATATTTACGGTTTATGCCACAGGATCTGTCCGCTAATAGAATTTGACTTTGGAACATTTTCCACACCCTCTGATCACATCCAGACCCTTGATTATAACTTATTTAGCATTAAACTGCATTTTGGTCGACTCACTTTGACCCCCAATTGACTAGGGGTCAAAAATGACAAAAATGCCTCTTAAGGGTAGTTTTGGAATTTTTCATAGATTTAAACATGACCTTTTCAAATTAAATTTCAAAACCTCTTCCAATGCATCTTAATCATCAATAGGAGTGCAATGGACCAAAGCGTTGACCTTGGTCAAACTTGGTTAATCAGGTCAACCAATTTTGACCAAAATACCCCTTAGGGATCTAAATAGTCATTTTAAACCAAATGACTTCCAAATTGTATGAGATCATTTCATTCAACTCAAAATGTCAAACCAAACTTGTTATACCCAAACTCAGGTCCTTGGTCAACCTAGTTGACCAAGTCAACCTAATAATTCCTTAAGGCTCCAAATGGATATTTCCAACCCATTTGGTCAAACTAATTTCTTCAAACCCTCAAAACTATACTATAATATAGTTCAAACCTTCCTAAACTTATCATGAGTCAAAGCATAATGGATTTGACCAAGTCAACCATTTTTAATTTGATCAAACTCCCACATGTGTATGTTTACTCATTCAAACTTTACTTGAATTACTCCAAACCCCTTTTAAATCATCCTACCAGCATTTGAGACCTTCCCCTTTGCACCTCATCACCTCTTAACTGTTGACTAGTCAAACCTAGTCAACAAATGAGTAGGAAGTGGTCAAATGGTCAAATGGTAAAATGGTCAAACAAGCTCTTATGTGAGCTTAGGTGGCCATGCCGCCTTGGCAAGACAATTCTACCCAAATAATCCATGCAATCATGTACCGGAGCTCGTACAGGAGAGACTTTGGAGAGCTTGCATACTGTTTTGTTCTGTTGGAGAGTTTAAATTTGTGTTGTGGGGAGTTTTGTATAGAAGTTTATAGATTCTTGTTGAGTTGAGAGATGCGGTTGTTGGGTTGTATAGTTGTTTAGAGAGTTGGCTCATAATGAGCTAACCCTTAGTTCAATAAATGAACTGAAGCCCAGCTCATAAATGAATTAAAAGTTTAGCTCAAATATGATGAATTACTAGACTCAAGAGAAGCCAAAATATGATTTATTTTGGACTAGTGTTGACCCCCCTTTTGTCTACATCAAAATGAATTAATTGAAATGATTATTTCAAAAAAAATAAACTCACAAAATTTTACTTTCCAATAGCTCCAAGAGAAAACTATGATAAATTTCAGAGAATTTCGGCAACCTCCTGACGCCCCCTCCCCTCGCGGGAAAGTTAGGACGACATTTGCTTATAATTTCTTCCCAGTCGGACCCAAGGTTGATTGCGCGAGGCCTTGAATTTGCAACTAGCTCGGCCAGACCCAAGCTCAACGACATGAGGTCTTCATTTCAAAATCATCTCGATTGGATCTAAGATCAACGACATGAGGTTTTCAATTTCATCCCAGACAGATCTAAGATCGACGACGCGAGGGCTTCACTTGAAATTCTTCCCGACTGGATTTAAAATCAACGATGTGAGGTCTCGAATTTGACACTATCTCAATCGGATTTGAAATGATCGGCATGATAGCCTTTGATTTAATTATTCCTGATTATTTAAATTTTGAATTTAACAGATAAAGAATAAATCTTAAATTATTAACTAAAGTCTGACATAATTTCATAAGGCAATTGTGGTAGATTTGAGAAGTTTGGAAGGAATAACAATAATTAAATTTGTGAGGGGGGAGGAATACAAAAAAAATTAAACCTGTGAGTGGTTTTGAGAGAAATAAAGAATACTTATACTTATGAATGGATTTGAGAAAGAGAGAAACAAAGAATTAAACCTATGCAAATTATATACGCTAGAGCAGATTTCATTTTGTGAGTGGTTTCACACAAGTTAGGTATTTTAGTAGAAATAGTACAGGACACTTATTATCAAATAAGAAAAGGCACTCGTAGCAAAGAAAATAAAAAAAAAGCAATTGGTATTCCGGTATAGGAGGCACGGTTGGAGCAAAGCGGTACAGTCGCGGGCTTCCGTGCTTGAATGAACGGCAACGAACGACAAAAGGAAGGAGGCGGAGGCAGATTGGGTAATCGATGGGAAGTGGACGTTCGACAACAGGGAAGCGGAGAGGAAGATTTTTTAGAGAAATTAAGAGTGTAAGTTCGTTTCTTTCTCTTCATTTCAAATCTACTCAATAAAAAGGGATGGAAGAGAAAGAAACGAACTTACACTCTTAATTTCTCTAAAAAGCCCTACTCCCCTCTTCCATGTTGTTGAATGCCCACTTCCCATTGATTATCCAATCGGCCTCCACTTTCTCCCTTTTGGCGTTCGTTCAAACACGCCGCTCTGCTCCAACCGTGCCTACTATACCAGAATACTCACAGCGCTTAATGGAAATGGAATCTTACTACTGCCAAGCAGAATTCATGCATTAATATCGTTTTTTAGCAAACAAATAGTTAAAGCCAAAAAAAAAGATGAAAAATACAATTCAGTATGGTATACTTCAAATCTACGAAATGCTAGCCTCTCAAGGGAAACATAAATGTACTACAACCATATTTGTAGCATGATATATATTTCATGACATGGTCGTATGATTACACACCTCATCATTATTAAAAGAAAAACCTGCAATGCATTTCTAATAAGAAAGGAAAAAAAAAGACTATGTAAGTGTTTGATCCAATATTATTCGTGAAAATATACAAAGAGCTCACCATATGTGAATTTTTATAATTTATATTTTAAAATTTATATAAAATGAGTAAATAAATGTTTTCCTAATTTATCATAAGTTAAAAAGAAAGCACTTAACCATGTAATGTCAACTTATTCTTTTATTACAAGCAACATAGTAGATAGAATTATTATATGAAAGCATGAAAAATGACAAAATAATGAATATCAAATTAGAAAAGGTTGGCTATGAAATGATATGATACTTATATAACAAGTGGGGCAAAAAGGACCCCAAAAGAGACAAAAAGGACCTCTATGTAATTCAATGGCGAAAATGTCAGTTTTACTTGGGCTCTATTGAATATTTTTATGAAAACTAACTATATGAAACTAACTATATGAAACATGATAGTCAAACCTTTAGAAGACTAATTATGATATTCCATATATGCTTCAAATAAAATAAAAGATGATCATAAATATAATATTTATGTTGTTTTGTAAATATTTGTGAGTTGATGCAGTTATGATTTCAATTATTATTTTTCCTTATAATCTTGCATATAAATTCTTATTTAAATTACATAACTTTATGAACTTTATAGCTCACTAGTGTTATACTGGTTGTTGTTATGATTTCAATTATTATTTCATCCCGGCATGTACGTTGTGCGATGCGTCATGGGCCTCCCACCAGTTGCTTGCAAATAAGCTAATATCTGGTGTGACAGCCTGGCTCTGCAAGCTTACTGCTTTCAATTTATCAGTGGCCCGCAATTTTTATCAAGAATTCTTTGCTTCTACTTATAGGTGAATTATAACATTGCGATACAGGACGCTCATCGTTTACAATTGTCGTATGTTGGTGAATTGCATTCAGTGTGGCATCCTCCAATACTACTTTGTAAGTGCTTACATTTATCACAGCTCCTTTTGTATTTGTGGTGGATAGCATGTCATATACGTGGCGAGTCTCCTACAATGTTACATAAATGTTTGCATTTGATGAAGCTTTTCTGCATTTACTTTACAATCTTCATACTTCACTCATGAAGACATTACTATGCTCATAGCAACTATCACGCCTCTTTTATAAGCATGTGCGTTATAAATTAATTAATATTTGTAGGTGATACAAGATGCTTATTGAGAGCCGCTTGTATGTATAACACATGACTATGCTCACTGCACTCGCTTGCATGTTGCTGTTGACAACCGGTTGAGCTACATTCATCGCAAATCTCATCATGCATGTTGGCCAACAAATTTCTACATTCATTTGCATCGGCTATTTAATCTTTGTTTGCAAGCAAGATGTTGGCTCAAGAAAAATGATGCATCCGCATGAATTCTGTTTTGCAGCTATAGGATTCCATTCTCCTTAAGTCAGATTGTAGTTAATCAGATTTCCTTTGTGGGTAGTATCAAGGATTAATTAGATTTGAGTTACTTCCAATGAACGCGTGCACTCATAGTTAATTACCTCTCGTAACACGTGAGAAAGAACTCTCGTTTAAGGATGAATAATTTTAGAAATTTTAGTCTCAGTTGTGGAGAAACTGAAAGTAAACTCAATCAATATCTCATGATTTCCTCGTCCCGAGTATACCTTAGATTTCAGTCTACCAACACTAATAATCATTGACAATAGTGCTATCATGCACCGACACTTCTCCTCAAAGAGGCGTGCAATAGTTGTTGAATTGGCCCAGAAGAGCTGGCAGTTACTTTATGGGAGTTATAGGCGACATAAGGGCTTCCAATTTTTCTGACCGACGAAATAAAGCATTTCTAGCAGATGAGCTTCCGCAAGGTCTTCCAAAAGTGGAACAAATCTTACAAGTTCGTTCAATTGATTCAATATCGATGAACCTCGAAAGAAGAGTTGAAGGTTGGGATGAATGTAACCAAAGGATTCTTGGGATCCCCTTG